CGACCTGCGCTACCTCTAGGACTATTCTTGTGTTTTGCCCTCTATATACCTGTTTGCCCTCATCTGACCCAGGCCTGCTGTATGACCACGTCTCTGTCTTTATCAAATAAAGCTTGCACATGGATCCGCAAGTCTCACGTCTCGTCAGCCCCGTAACAGCTGCGATGCTGTTTTAATAATGTACATATATTATTATTATTTTATTTATTATTTAGCAGACGCTTTTATCCAAAGCGACTCACAAATTATGACAACAGAAGCAATCAGTTGTAGTATTAAAACAACTAAAAACAGTTATATATATATATATTTTTTTATTTATTTATTTTTTTTTTTATAATATATATAAATATATATACTATAAAATCTGATTTTGATCAATTAGTGATAAAATGTAACATTTTTTTTTCCAAGAAAATACTATTTCCGTATTTCTATTTAAAACTTTCACATAATTATTTGTGATATTTAGGCTACTATAGCAATTTCTGAGTGAAACTTGTTTCAAAGAGTACACTGTCAAATATGATTTTTCAAAATTGCAAATGATACTAATGGAGTATTTTTACTATTTGAGTCTTTACTTTTAATTCAGTGTGTTACTCGCTGTTTCTTTGTAATTATGCGTGAAAATTGTTTAAATGTACATCCTACACAAATTTTTTAGTGCACCAGAATATAAAACTAAGCAACTTTTATCTAGAAAAATAGCATATATTCACATATACATCCATTCACTAACCCGATTTGTTCAAAAACACAATCATGTAGCAAATGATTCATTGCTTTGTTCATTGGCAGAGCAAAAACATAACTGTGATTTTGCTTTAAATTAAACATAAACATACAGTATTTCACTCTTTCTACTTTGAAAAAGGTCAAGTTTAATTCAGTTGCATTTCTTTGTAATTATAAGTAAAAACCGTTTTAAAGTAAATCCTACACACTTTTGTTCAGTGTAGATATGACGAGTGAGTGACGTGACATGTGGCCAAGTATGGTGACCCATACTAGGAATTAGTGCTCTGCATTTAACCCATCCTTAGTGCACACACACAGCAGTGAACACACACACACCGTGAACACACACCCGGAGCAGTGACACTCAAACATTTAGAAATGCAACTTAGTATACGCATACTATTTGCGCCATTGTAATCTGACCATCACATGAACTCACGCAGCTTTACTATATTCACACATCAGTACACAAGATGTTTAACACAAAAACAAGAGCCACATTTCCTAGAAACATTTGCATCATCATGTACCCAAGACCTCGAAGAACTGCTGATGCATCACAAAGCTGCTATTAACCCCTTATTTTGTGAAAATGTAAAGTGCGGCGTGTAGCGTGAGTCTTTTCGCATTAAAGTACTTGGTGTATAATTTGTATAACGAAACCACCTATGATGTGGGAGGGAGACATGAGATGCAGCCGAGAAAAGAGGAAGAAGTTGCAAGTGTTCACTTGTCCATATCTGACTGATCACAAGTTAAGGAATGAGGAAGCGATACGAGGGTTTATGGGAAACCTGCTAGGAGGGGCTGATAGGAAGGCATGGTATGTAGGAGGTCTTACAACAGATGTGCAAAAGGAAACTGTTTGTGTTTGTAAACTCTGAGGTTTTTTTCTGTTGCATTATGAACTCTGTTATGAAACCTCTAGAACATTGCTGACGTGTTTGAAATTCTGAAACTTTTTGTAATATGTGTACCATTGTTGGATAATTTCCAAGTGTCATATATAATAAAATAAAATAAAAATAAGTATAATAAATAACATTGGTGTTATCAGTGCTAAAAACATAGCAAAAACTATTATTGTTGTTTGTGTTGTTGTTGTTGTTTTTGTTGCATATTCACTTCTGAGGTCAAAGAAGAGGACTTTGTGCAACCCCCCCCCCCCTTTTAAAAAAACAACTAATTTAATAAAATGAATAATTTCAACATGAATTTAAATATAATTAAAATATTTAATATTATTTAATATAATAACGTTATTCATTTAAATAAAGCTAATTTCTTAATTAAAGCAAATAATTCAATATAATTAAATATAATTTAAAATATTTAAATAAAATTAATTTTTCATATGGTTCATTTAAACATCATTGGTGTTTGTTTGAAAGATTTTAGTTATGATTTTGTTATTCAAAATGACTTGTTCTCATTTCTAAATAACAAACAAAAAAACATTTCAATGTTTTCTTCATTTATGAAATAAAATAAAACAATGAAAGAAATATTAAAAGTTGCCCTTTATGACTGGTAGTAGTGCCAAGATGTTAATAAAATAAATTAAATTAGCTTTCATGCACTGAATTCAAAACTAGAATATTTTGTCATCTGGCATGCAAAAAAAAAAAAAACTGGTCTAACAGAATGTTGATATGCTTTAAATGTCAAAAAACACATTATTTTTCAAATACTGAATTCCCATTCATTCCAATGCATATCTCCAGTTTGCACGGATTCCACCCACCACAAGTCATTCTCCACCATGGGAACTGACTCCAGTGGAGTTCTCAAGTCACTTAAACTCCAGTGAGTAATTTCTATTGGGGAGGAGGACACACAAGGAACCGTCCTCATAACTGCATAAGCTCGTACATTTGTCCAAACTTGACTGCCTCCACACAGCTATTTACCAAAGGATGAATCACAAGAGGTTTGTCAACAGCCGCGTGTTTGCAGTTGCAGGTCGGGATATCGATTCCTGTGTTCTCCCAGTGTAGATGGACAGGAATGTAGCTGAGGTTTGTTCTCGGCCGATGACCTTTAGCTCAAATGGCTGATCTGTGATCAGCGCACTGCACTTCATCGCTGAGAGTCGAGTGAGTCACAGAGAAAGGAATGCTGGGTAGTCAAAGGAACCCTTGGGAGAAAGAACTTTAACAGGTAGAAACAGATTCTGATGAGAAAAAGAGTCTGGGTCATTCTCAGAGGCACATTCCTATCCGAGCAGCTCCGTAGAGTCCTGGAAACACAGGAAAAGCGGCCTGGAAGCAAACACTGAGTGCGCTCCCACAGTTCTTTAAAATACACACACACACTTTCTTCTTTAGAGGCTCACTGTGCATGCTAATGTGCTGAGTGACATTTATCACCACAATTCAAAATACAACAGCATTTTAAAACAGACTATAGTGTTTTTTTTCACTGTAATATAGAATAAAAACCGTTTAACGGGTGCCTCAACAATGCTAAGGTGTTCTGAGGGGTTGCTAGCGGGTATTGCTTTCCAGTTAGGAGGTCTAGGGCGGGTTCTTGCAGTTAGTGTTATTGTATTATTTATGTTTTACTTGTATTATTTATATTTATGTACTAAAGTTGAATATTGCTATGCAGTTTCTGGGTAGTTTCTAAGTACAAGAATCCACCCCAAGTCACTATGATATTCTGATGTCTATATGGCTAAGCTCAAGCTCCTGTGATTTTTTAAAAAGTATTTACTTGTCTTCAAAAAGGCAGCTGCAAACAAGTATCTAAATTTGGACTACAGGCTGCCGTGGACATTAAACATCGTCATGCAATCAGGTGAACTCATCTGCTTTCACAGCCTCGTTATATTTATAGTTGCACTTTTGCAAACTATTCTAACTCAAAGATTAAGGGAAAATTAGTTGTCTGAAGCTTTATGGTGGTGAGCAGTGTTGGGGTAATTACTATTAAAAGTAATGCATTACAATATTGCATTACTCCATAAAAAAAGTAATTGTGTTACTTTTTATGGAAAGTAATGCATTACATCACTCCTTGTCACCTGAGCAGGACTTGCTTATTTATTTTTAATAACAAAAAACACAAAAGTTATATTTTTGCTAACTGTAAATGCCCTTTCAAACCAAAAGTAACTTGCATTAGCTATTTGAAAAAGTAACTTTTAAAAAGTAATCTGATTACGTAACTCACACTACTTTTAATGCATTACCCCCAACTCTGGTGGTGATGTTCAAGTCCGTGGTGATTTTTACTTCTGGTGACTGTATATGGGCTTCAAAATTGATGATTTGTGAAGTTTATCATGATAAACCAAACATTTCAAACATTTCAAAATCAAACTTTTGTTGGTCACAGATTATTTTCTGTAATAATCAAAAAAACAATTGAAAAATCCTATTGGGTCAAGGGAACCAGGGTGATGCGAACTTCTGGGTTGGCCTACAAAAATATCTACTACTGCACTCGATATCCATGCCTTCTAAAGCGAATATCTTTTTGTTAGGAACAGACCCAAAGTCAAAATTGAATATCTCCAAGTCAATGAAACCTGGCATTGGCACATTATTTTGAATCTGATTATGGATGTGAATAAGATTTGAGAGCTGAAGAAGATTGTTGAACCAAATGTTTTAAAGAACCTTTATTTTTAAGCATGTACATTGCTAAAATGTTATCCCATATTGAAGAATACTGAACTTGGTTTGCACTAATTCAGATACTTTGACTGTGCTCTGGTCATATGTCAAAGCTCAAGCCCGGATGTGTGAATGAATCGGTCGTTGTTTCTCGTTTAAATCGGCCCATGTCAGGTTTAGTTACATACCCCAGCGGATGCCGAACGATCAGGTGCGCCTCGGGTCATATTGCGCGCATTCTAACTCATTTAGAGCTGCGGTGCAAACGCTGAGAAGGTTTGTCTGAGAGGATTAATGAAAGGCTTAACAAGAACGTTCCCTGCTTGTGCTGTGTGCGTCCTCATAGGGAGGGCAGCCGTTACGGGCCCACGAAAGGATCAGGTCAGGACGCCCCATGCTGGGGGCCATGCTGTCCTGGGTTGTACGGTGCATAAGAGGAGAAACGATTCAACAAATCAGGCTTAATTCTCTGGTGAGGTTTTCAGGCACAATGTGAAACTGCTCACAGGTGGAGAATTTATTTGAATAATTATGCCTCTGTTTAACTTTTAACATTTCTGGAGCGCAACCGGAGGGTTCCACAGGTATAATTTCAATCAAAGAAACTGATTTTTAATTATAGCATATAAACAGACCTACCTGAGTGGCAACAGTGGCATGTACAGCTCTCTTTCCTGATATATTTCCTATTGAGACAGGACGTTTGGGTGGGGCATAGAGAAGGATTGTGGCTTTTTTTAAAATAGCCAATAGGCTTTAGTTTACGTGTACCATGCTTTTTTTGTCATTTGCTATTGCTAAATGGAATCAGGTGGTTCGAGAGAGTAATTTATTGGGTACATATTTGTATACGCCCCTTATAGGGTGAGATAAGTCATCAATATTTTTGGTCTGTTTTCCTAGAAGACTATTTAAACCGTTTATCATCTTTTAGGAGTACACAAGCATATAAATGATGTTAAAGCAATAAACATGGACTAAAACCTACAAATGATTAATACTGATTTAATGGAGTTCATAAAATAAAAAATTTATTAAAATTGTGTGTATATACACATACACACACACACACACACACACAACAATTTTTTTTCAATATTTAATTTAATTTTTTACATTTGACATAAAAACAGTTTATAATATAGTGATTCATCTCAGAGCTGCTTGTTTTGGTTCATGGCTCAGGTTTAAATAAAGAATTTCTTTGAAATATTTATGGAAAAAATTGAATGGGAAAAGTACTGCTGGAACCAAGGCCACCGAGCAGGTGGGCGTTCACATTCAGGCTTTATGCATAGCTCTGTATCGTTGTACTTCTCAGTGAAGGATATCTTTATAATGCTATTTAAAGCATACCTGGTGCCATCTACAAAAACACAGATAAAGTATATGCTGTTAGCTATTGCATGTATCCGGTTCAGGAGGCCAGCATTAAGAAATCTGGACCCCTGTGGTCCTAAGCGCCTCAGATTAAAGATACACTATCAATATAAAACGATAAGAGCGCTATTAAAGTTAGTTAAATGGATTTACAGCTAATACCACTGCAATCTGTCCATCTCTACTTCTCAAATGACATCTGCTGATTGTCTGTTTAAAGACCACTGACTGATATTACTGTAGTGAGCCAAACAAAGCAAATCATACCCAGGAAACCAGAATGAATGTTAAAAAAATATTTATTGACAATTGTGTAAAAAAATAGCTTTCTAAACATAATTTCCATTGCTAAATCAGAAAAACAAAATCCGAGTTGCAATCATGCCTACTAAAGGTGAAAAAGAAACCATGTAAAATCACTCGTTCCTCAAACATTCATGAGGTCATATCCTCCAACATATGCACAGCAGACCGTTTAAATTAGGTGACAAACACGACTTCAGACTGGTATGGTTTACCATCAGCAGTGCTCCATGCATCGAGAAACAGAAGTGCTTCGAAGATTATTTACAACATATGTACATATCGTTCTCAAAAAAAGGCTTTAAATATGGTAAAAATACATTTAAATAATTTGTGGGCCCTTCGGTGGTGGAATGAGAAAAATTTTGCAGAAAATTGCTTCTCTATAAATAAATAAATAAATACTTCCACTTCCATCTGTTTTTTTAAGACACTCCAATAAATATCATTTACACATAAGTCTTGTCATGGAATTGATTCATCTGACCGAGCTATTTACAATATAAACAAAAATAATATGCA